AAAAACTAATCAAAACCTAGCATTAGTTCAGAGCATCTATGTACCAAGTTTCATCAAAATCCAATGAGTGGTTGTTTAGATATCAGTGGAACAGTCATGGAACCACTAAAAAATAGCTAATTATCATGCAAATTAGGTAATTAATATGCACGGATTTTTACCAAAAATTAATCAAATCTGCGCATATGTTCAGAGCATCTATGTACCAAGTTTCATCAAAATCCAATGAGTGGTTCTTTAGATATCAGTGGAACAGTCATAGAACAGCTAAAAATTAGCTAATTATCATGCAAATTAGGTAATTAACGAGCATGGATTTTTACCAAAACCTAATCAAATCTGCGCATTGGCCCAGAGCATCTATGCACCAAGTTTCCTCAAAAACCGATGTATGGTTCTTGAGATAGCAGTGGAACAGTCGGACACACATACACACATACACACACACATACACACATACACACATACAGACACACTAACTGCAAAGACTCCCATTTTGTGCTTCGCACATGGGAGTCAAAAATGAAGACGACATACATGAGGGAAGCGAAAAACAGTTGGAAAAGGTGGCGCAACGAAACCAACAAGTGATTAAGTTACGTCGCCGGGTTTTATCTCTTTGTTGTGAAAAAATACTACACACAAAGGGGAAATCGACACAAGGGTAAAAATGACAAGGAAAACCTACCAGCTACAATGTCGGTTACCGCAGATGCGGCAACGACCCAAGCTAGAAACCCGGACAGGAAAAAGCAAGCTAATCAAGCAGAGCCGCTAGACTTCATCCTCGTCGATGCGGAGAAAAAGAAGAGTGAATAGCCAGCCGTAATGCACCGCCATATGGACTTGATCATGTGGTTTGTGACGTAAGGGAAAAGAATCTTGGGGTCAGGGGATTCTATCTCTCCGTCATTGGCAGAATCGCTGATTAATGCCTACAGTTCAAAATAGTCATTTTGACTGACCGGAGTCTATGGTGGGTAATTGAACATAGCGAATACTACTTTTTTTGTATATTGGACTGAGGCAGAGAGAAAATGTTATGAAAATTTCACCAAACAAAAAAGCAAATTAAATATGTACTTGCTCTATAAACCTACAATAGAAATGCATATCACGGAAAATAGCATTTGTTGTACACTGACTGCAGCAAATTCCCATAATTTATGTACCGGTAAGCATATGCACTACCATATATAAATAGAGAAAATATGGTATGTACCAAATTATTTTTCAAATTATATTGGGAAAATGGGTGAAGACAATTGAAAAACAAGCAGTCTCTTGGATGAGATTGTTCCACTGTTAGTAATACACATTTTAATTGAAGTATTGAGATATCACTAAATGAAAAAATCAGAGGGAGGTCCACCTGTTGTACCAAATATACATAATATCAAAGCAATCAGACTTGCGGTTTTTAACATGAAGTCGAAAATATCACTTTTTACCAAAAATGAAAAAAATATTCTTCAAAATTAGAGAATTGAATATATCATCACAAAACGAACAAATCTGAGAGTGGTCCAGATGTAGTACCTATATGTATAATATCAAAACAATCAGACTTGCTGTTTTTAACAACAAGTCAAAAATATCAAAAATTACTAAAAAAAACAAAAATATTTATTTCATTAGAGATTTGAAGATATCATCACGAAATGAACAAATCTGAGAGCAGTCCACATGTAGTACCTATATATATATATAATATCAAAGCAATTTGACTTGCTGGATGATGACAGACAATCACTCATATGATAAGCTCTGCTCGACAAAGTCACAGCAGAGTTAAAATAAGTGAGGAGAATAATTTACAGTTTCAATAGAAGTGAGTAGCTTAAATTGTATACTGGTTAAACATCTATGATTGTCAAATATGTAAATACATGTTGAGATTTTGATGGAATACCGGTAATATTTAAATGTCAAAAAAGAAAATGATTTTTCCTTCACTGATAAACAAATAGATCAATAAATAAACAAATTAATAAATACAAACCTCATAGTCCTTTAAGCTACCGTGCCACACACAACCTGGCTCAGCAGGACATCTTAACATCAGGCAACTCATTTCTCTTTTGCAAGCATTATCTGGATAAACCTGTGAACAACATTGGATCAAGAAACAGTTTTAGATTACCAACTGATATAAAAATCAACTGATCCTTTAATATCATACATACCTTTCCACATATACCGATATCATCAGATTGAGAAGTTTTGCATGCCTGTCTTTGTTGGTAGGCTATATATGAATGTCTTCAAAGATACATTATTTGGTGTACATCATTTGTTGATTTGGATTAATCACTTGGCAAATCATTTATGATTGGGCCTAATATATTCTAAGGCCAGCCTTTTTTAAGTCTTGGTGCTGAACAAAATTAATTCATCTACCACCTCGTGGATGGATCTGAAGTTGACAATAGTGAAATCACCAGTTGGGAAAACATAGCACCATTGTACTCATTGGCATTCAAGGCTTAGGAACCGAGATGAAAAAATCCTAGAGAAATGACAGTTGGATTTTGTGGTACAATGCTGTGTCATGAGCATTATATCAGATTGTTTAACCAAGTTTGTTTTCATGTTCTGTGTTGAAAACTTTAAGATTTTTAACAAATACAAGAAATATTGTTTTTCAAATAAATATTTATTTATTTTTCTTCCTCAGACATCTCTTGATATTCACATGTGATTTGTGAATTACAAATCTAGCCTGAAAAAAAATATTCATTATCGTCCTCCTCTTCTGAATTGTCACTGAAAATGTCTGATTATTAGGGAAATAAAAAGGCTGGCCTAGTTTCATAGTCAAACTATCATAAACAATAGAACATTTATTACGTAACTATTTTATTTCCTTCGAAGTAAGGGACGACGTCAAAAGATCGATGTCGGATAAAAAACTTATTTCCTTTAAGTTTGGGGGTGGGGGGTTTTGACCTCAAAAAGTTTCCATCCGACAATATTTTTTAATATTTAGTATTTGTAGTTCGTTTTTTTTCTATCCAATCACGGACAGAAATAACCGAAAAGGGAAAAAACAGAAAAATGTTTGGTTCGAGTGTAAATCTGTGCGTCAAATGAGGTGCATTTGTAAAATGATTTTACACCCACCCGACAGCCAACTGCTATGCAATACTACTTTCCGATTATCAATTTATATTTAATGGTGAATGTAGTCTGACGCCATGACCAATATTTATCAATTAAGTTTCAGTGGGGGGTAGGGGGGTTTGGAAAAAAACTAAGGAATTAAGTTTTTTATCCGACATCGATCTTTTGACGTCGTCCCTAAGCTGTTTAAATAAAAATCATTTACCTCTATCTTGTCTGAGTCAACATTTGTGTCACACTCTATGCATCTGTAGATTCAATAAAAGAGTGATTCTGATTCAGTCATTAACACAACAGTTTACTAACAGACATTTATATATATATTATCCAAAAGCACCTAGGTATATACCAAGTTTCGCTGAAATTTGGTGAGTGCTTGAGATATTGGTGGATAAGCTAAAAATTGGCTAATTAATATGCAAACTAAACATTATGCACAGATTTCCACCAACCTGGTCTGCACATTACCCTAAAGCATCTAATAAAATCACAATTGGAATGCAGAATTCAGCATTCGATCACTGTACACAGTCACACACACAGAAAAACATTTATATCTCACTCAATTGTGTACCTATATATTCTTGAAGTAAGCTCCTGATATATATATATATATATATATACATGTATATATATCAGTGTCCATGCAGTGTACTTTTTCACCAATTGACGCCAATGAATTACAGGAAAAGGTACAATGTATGTGCCATAAGCTCACAGAATGAGTATAGCTATTCAAATAGTTTTCTCTTCTGATAAATTATGAAATGTATCTGTTATGTCTCACATATTACCAATATAACACCATTTGTTTATGAAAGTCATGAATCAGCTGTCAATGTGGAGATGTGTGAAAAGACAAAATAATGCAATTACTTGATAAGGTCAGAGCTGCAGGATAGACAATATCTGTGTCCACACTGTATTTGTACAGGATCCTTGAGAACACATTTACATTTTCGGCATAGATATTTTACTGCACGTGACTGGTCCAGGAATAAATGTTGAGGATACCCGGACATTATTTGCTTCTGATCTGCAAAGAAATAGTCATTGTGAATTACATAATGCTTCATCAACAATTCTAAGTATTTTACATTTGTTATCATGTTCATTATAGGGGAAGTCAAGGCAAACAACATATCAAATGCTCCCAGATGAAATAGCTCCACAAATGTAGGAGAATGCAATTTACAGTTTATTACATCACTTTTCATCCTCTCGATATTCAACTTACAATCATTACAAAATGAACAAATCTGAGAGAGGTCCACATGTAGTAGCTACAATATAAATGTAATATCAAAGCAATTGGAGTTGCAGGTTTTAACAAGAAGCCAAAAATATCACTTTTTACTAAAAATAACAAAAATATTCACCAAAATTAGAGAATTGAAAGTATCATCAACAAAGTTGACAGCAGAGCTAAAAATATAATGAAAAAATAATTTGATGACATATTGCTTTTACCCAATAGAAAATATTATTTCTAAGGAGGCAATGAAGATAATATTAGTATTAAGTGCGTGACCTGACTAACTATATGATCTTTCTTTTTAACATGCTAGGATTTATTATCATTAATATCAATATATTGACACATGATTTGTTCCACATTACTGGTAATGTCTTAGAATTTTGAATATTGGTACAAGTTTTGATGGAATAATGTGTTTACATGGAGTCCTATGGAAAATTTTCCAAAATGCCTTTTTAGATTATTGTGCATACGTTTTCCTAGAAACCCATCCTTCTTTCTCCTTGAAAATGTTAAAAATGAACGATGTGAATCATCACAAAATTTTTGATCGAATTACTGTGATCAAATTTTTCCATGTTTTAATGGTAGCAATTAAAGGGCGTCAGTCGTCGTGTCGCGTCCTATTCGATATGGGACTCATAGCAACGTATACAACGCGTGTAAAATACATTGTTTGTTTACATGAAATTCTAACACACGCTGCACAACGACCACTGCCTTTTAAACTACCTTAACTCTGTGTTTTTAAATAATCATGTTGCATGTAAAACACAGACATTTTACAATACACCGAAAGAGTGACGATTTTTTTTCCATCGGTTCGATCGAACACCGGTATCTTTTTTTAGTCACTTGCCCAGGAGACATAGAGCCAAAACTAGAATCTTATTTTAATCAGATTGGGGAAAAACTAAATGAATTAAGTTTTTTATCCCACATCGATCTTTTGACGTCGTCCCTAATATATTGTTTAAACCAACAACAATTTATTAACTCATAACAACTTACTGAAGGAGGTTAAAGGTTACAACAACAACAACAACAACAACAAAAATTACAGATACAAATTGATCAAATTACAATGGCTAATAGTTTAAAGACAACCAAAAACAGACTAAATTGAAGTTAGTAACGGAAATATATAATAAAGTAAAATGAGACACCAACAAAAAACTGTAAACTGAATATAAAAACAAAAACCCAATGAACACATAATAGGTGTTAAAAAAAAAAAGTCAATGACTAAGTAGGTGCTGCTGTCTAATAGCAAAGCTGTATTTCAGATATTGTGCCAGAGGAATTGCTAAGTTATTATTTGACATAATGAATTTATTTTCAGGTGTGAGATTAGTAAAGTCAGGAATAATCTTTTCAGCTTCATTGTATAAAATGACCCTCTCTTTACTATATACTGGGCATATTATGAGGAAGTGATGTTCATCTTCATTATCATTTTTATTACATAATTTGCAGATTTTGTGGCTACTTTTCATTCTGTTGTGTCTTCCTTTTTCAATTTCTAAACTGTGATTGCTAAGTCTGAATTTAGTTAGGGTACTTTTCAGTTCTTTATATTTTATCTTTATTAAGTAGTTTTCCAAAATGAAGTTTGTTTTTAAATTTTTTGTAAGTCCTCAGTTTGTTTTTTGTATTAGTGTTTTGTCTGTTATCATCATTAATTGAGTTAATCCAATGCTTTATAAATACATTTTTTATTTTATCATATGTGACATTTGTGACGATTTTAGCTCATTATTGTCAATATCTGATAGTGTTGTATTTGTAGATTTCAGTACTGAGTTAAGTTCATTGTACCACTTACTTTTTATAGTCTTGTTTAATAATGGGGTTTTGAATTTTGTTTAGGTGGTTTGTATATTTTATTAACTGTTTTTAATGAATGAATCGATAGGATATCTACCCAACTCACTATAAATTCCCAATTTTGGAGTGTTTTTTGAAACACCTAGGATGAAGCGACAAAAGCCGAGGTGTACATCTTCTATAGTAGAGTTGAATGAACTTTCTTCAGCCCATACTTCACATCCACATTGGTCTTATTAGTTTATCAAACAATGATAACAATAATGAGGGACTGAGGCTTTTGGCTTTCAAAGAGAATAATGCTTTCATTCCTTTGTATTTCAGATGTTTCATAGCAGCTTTAAATTTTCCATTAGGGCTGAGAACAATACCTAAATAATTATAATTTCTCACAATGTTAATCTCATTCCCTTCAAAAAAGAATAAATCATTGTCATAGAGTTTATTATTTTTATTAAAAACCATAATTTTTGTTTTTTCTGTGTTCACAGCGAGTTTCCATTTCTGTGTGTATTTTGAGACATTATCAAGGGAATTCTGGAGGCCACTTTTGGATTTAGAAAGAATAACTATATCATCTGCATACATTAGACATACATTGTTTAACCCTCTTTTAGCCAATACATATTTTGTGTTATCCTACCGACACCATAAAAATCATGTGAAAATAGAGGGCATTTTTGTCTGATACCTTAAAATAACATAACCATTTTTGCACATTGTCCCTTTTGGTTTTACATCTCCTGAACTTTAGATTATGGAATATTCTTACAACTTCTTGTATGCATTATATCTATTATGATGTCCTTTATGTATTATACTACTTTTATGAAATAAACGAAAGGTATTTTTCTAGTCATCACTAAAAAATCACACATGGCTTTTTATGGATCGGGCCATATTACACCAGATCTAATCATGCATGCTGTTGATGAAACAAACAAATATGCTCATTTTCACATGGAAAATATTGCCAAGAAACACAACAAGTATTGGAAAGATACCAATTATACTGAAATGAAGGCTTTCTTTGGCATGCTGATAATAATGGGTGTCAGCAAAAGACACTCCCTGGATGAATACTGGTCAAACAGCAAATATCTGAGATGTGATGGCATAGCATCTGTGATGACAAGAAATCGGTTTCAAATCATACTACGTTATTTCCACCTGGCTGATCCAGCTGACGATCCACGTGTTCAGGATCCAGAAACAAAGAGAACATTCAGACAAGAACAACCATTGTACAAGAACCAGAATTGGCTAAATGTTATAACAGAGAATTGTCAAACCAATTTCATAGTTGGTAGGGAGATATGCCTGGATGAAGGAATGGTGCGCTATAAAGGAAGGTGTAAATTTAAACAACGAATACCAACCAAACCAGACCAGACAGAGATGGTTTGAAAGTATGGCTTACAACTGATGCCAAAAGTAATTATAATTCAAACTTGAAGATTTATCTTGGAACCAAAGTAACCACAATGCCAAAAAAGAAAGATGGTTCAAAGATGAAGAAATTAGTTGAAGAAATGATGGAGCCATATGAAAATGAAAACAGAGTACTATTCAATGACTCGTTATTCAACAGTATAGCAACAACCAGGTCCCTACTAAAAAAACAAATAAGAGTTGTAGGCTCTTACAATTCAGGATGGATAAAAACACTTCCACAGGAAGATAAATGGACAAACAAAAGTATAAGAGAGAAGATGAAGAAAGGTGAAAGTGAATGTAGAAGGTTGAAAGATGAAGAAATATCCATGCACATGTGGAAAGACAGACGTTGCCTCTTCATCATCAACTCTGCATATGATATGCACGAGTACATGCCACTTAATTCACCTTCAGAGAGAGAGAATGAGATATTTTCAGAAAATGAAGATGTTGAGAATAATGACGACAACCAACTGCCGATGACTGCTCCAGTCCCTGTTGTACAATACAGGAGATTCATGGGCTCAGTGGACGGAGCCAATCAACTACGTAAGTACTTCAGAATCCACAGAAAACACAACCGTTGGTGGGTGTATTTAGCATTTTTTCTGATTGATGTATGTGCACTAAATGCATACACCACATACAAATTACTAAATCCGACCAAAACAACCACACACAAGGACTTTCAGCTTGATCTTGGTGACGAACTGATTGGTGGTTACTGTGATAGAAAACAGAAGTTGCCAT